AGCCGCTCATTCTCAATCACGTGCCTCAAGTAAGACCCCATTTAGGACTACTTTCCTCCTCGATTCCTATAGTACCTTTATAAGGACCCTCCATTCAGCGACTGGTCAAAGTTGCAAGTGATTTAGAGCCCATAGAGGCTCAAAAACGATCGGTTTATACAGACATCTTTTTCACTCCTTTTTTGGTATTCCCAGAGGCGTTCAGAAAAAATGAACGTCAGTTTGGTACTCTAGGCTCGCCACATCATGCAAAAAACCGTTTTCAAAAAGCGCTCCACGTCCTGAACGACCTCCCTGGTTAGAGTCGGCGAAGTTGTGGCGAGCGTTGCAGTATGCTCTTCCCAACCTTCTTCCACCAGTACTGCTGCTCTTCTCTCCTTGAGGTCTTCCTTTATCGCTCTCTGCATAGCTTCGCAAGCTCAGACGTCAGCTGGTAATTGCCTGCGGCTCGTGCGACTGCACGATGACAAGTCAACTCGGAAATTCCTAGAGATAAATACTTCTTGGTATTTTCGGAACTCTCTGAGCTCTTAGCGGAATCGTGAAGATAATTTACAAACCATTCGTATTTATCGTGGATGCTGTCGCGAAAGGAATCCTAGAGCTCAGCGAGAAGAAGTGACCCCCTTTGTTGACGGTCTTCAGGCTTCTCTTCTTGAACTTCGCGGCTCTCTCCCTTCAAATCGAGAAGCGGAATCCTGTGCGGAAGACGGAATCCTGTCCGATCCCGTGTAGAACTTAGAAACAACAGCAACGTCGTTCACGCGAAATCCTCGGTTGGAGATGATGTGGTCATTGTCATCTTATTGTGGAATTGTCTACCAGGAGATCCCCATGTGCAGCGTAGAGCAGAGCCTTTGGAATTGCGAGTTACCATGGATGGTATGGGTCGACATGATAAACTCAGACAGCCTTTCACCCTGCTCATTCCACTCCGTTCCGTGAGTTCCGATGTGAAGTTCTTCAGCCGTTCTTCTTGGTCCGATCTTAGCGTTGAAATCACCGACGATGACCTTGAAGAAGGTATGGTCTCTAACCTCCCTTGTAGAACATCCCCAATTCCATATGGATTGTTTTAACCCATCCTCATCGCAGCTTGATGTTGATACGTAGGCGACGAAGATTGTCAAAGCCGGAGTTGAACCACATCTTCTCAATCGCAAACGTCCGATTCGGGTCGTCAGATTTTCGTACGAATCGATGTTCATGGCCAAGTGCGTGTTGACGAGGGCGCTCACACCGCCGCCATCGCCTCTACACCCAGGGCACATCGTTGTTGGGGAATCCCCAACAGGGGGGTCGTATTTGGCCGCCAGGAGAGGGGTCGTATTTGGGCTGAGAAAAATTTATTTTGATAGTTGATTTTTCTCGCTTCACGGACGTTGTAAAGGGGGGGGGTCGTACTTGCTCATTGTTGGGAGGGGGGAGGGTCGTATTTACTTTCTGGCCTTTCTAGGAGTGGTGGTGGTGGTTGACTTTTCGTGATTTTCCTGTTTCATGCGTACTATATACCCCCCCCCCCTCCCGCTCGACAGCAAAATTTTTGGGAAAAAGTAGGGAAGTTTTCGGGAAATTTTGGAAAAAGTGGCAGGAAGTTGGGGAAAATCTGAGAATTGGTAGAAGGGGGAGTCGTATTGTCTCGCGGCTTTTCCTGTTTCACATGTGCTATTTATTCCCTCCCCCCTCCCCGCTCGACAACTCGATTCAATGAGGAGAGACAGAGGATCGGAAAGGGGGAGGGTCGTACCACCCCCCCCCTCCCAAAAAAAGGGGCGGGGGTCGTACGGACACGACTCAAATTCCCAACCTGTGATGCGCGTACAATTCTTCTCTTGTTTCGTATACAGCGTGCAGCGGGCAATGCCTCCTCTTTCCAGTCATACTTGATCTTCCTGGCTTGGATCATCATTTTCAATGTGAGCTTCCAATGCAAGATGACGATCTATATTTTCGTGCAAGTGTCCTTGCATGAAAATATAGATCGCCATCCTGGTCCTGGGCTAATTCTCCGTTGGCCCAGAGATTCTAGCATCCGACCAGTCCCAACCAACGCCACCCTTACGGTGGTTCCTTCAGGTTCAGGGAAATGAGGCTCATATCCATTACTGCCAGTAAATGTAAGTTCACGGAGAACATAGTAGAGTGGTTTCGTCCGCTCTACACTAAACGATGCGATATGATCTCATCGAAAATTTTATGTCCAGTCCGTTATGGAACGATGCACCAAGCCGTTAGGTACATCACAAGTAGAGCTTCCATGTGTGATAGCCAACATGCATGAATGATCATGAATGCATGAATGATTTATTGGTAACTTGATCGTTTGCATTCCTCCAATGTTATCTGTTGATTTGACACTGGAGAATGGAGCAAGCGATGATCGGAGAGTTAAAAATTTCACTTTTCAAGTTTTGAGGGCCTAGTACTACTTGCAAATTGACTAATTCGTACACTGGGCGTTGTTACAAGGTGGCATTGTTGATAGATTGCTATAATAAATTGTCCAATAGGGCAGTTATCCATCAATACTCCAGATCTCCGTCCCCCCCCCTCGAAAGGCTAGCGAAGAACAACACTTATTCCAGCAGCTTGTGATACTAGCCGCACTCCGTGAATGGTCCTCAAAAACAGTACAAAAGTTGTTTGAAGAAGCAAACATCCCTCCCGTTAAGAGTACATTTTCCCACAATACCATAACACCGATTTACCCTGTTGCAATTTCCAGGAATCCCATGCTGCTATTTTGCACTTCGAGTTACCATCACCATGTGACCTCCCTGAGCTTTTCGACTTCACCTCTTCCCACGCTGAAGAGTTAGCGCTGTCGTTCTCGGTAAGCTTACCCACGTTCTATACCTACCCTTCATTACCGCTTGTACAGTTGCTAATTTATACTAAGTGTCTATGTTCAGGTGTCTCAAAACAGCCTTGATCAAGCATTTGTAAGCTTCGTGAAAGAACAGACGGACCCCGGAGGGAAGCGTAACGTCAAAATGCCCATCTCAACAGGCCACGTTTGCGCTGTCGCTAATCCTGACCCCGAATCCGGAACACTTCATATCGATACAAAGTCGTTATCGTCAGCATCCTCGAAGAATGTGACAACTAAAAATACAGCAAATTCAATGTCGCGCACGAGAGCTTTCTCCGATGAAGAAACAGATATACGTTAAAATGCGAAATGTTATTCGTCCTCACAACTGTTATCGAACCTATCAATGTTTTGGAGTGCTAACCAAACTAATTTATTTTTTCCTTGTCAAAATATTAATCCCATCGATTTCTTTTGCTGCGTAGCGATTGTCACAATAATCGCTTTCGAAATTAATATGGTGTGGTGTCTAGGTACTAATTGATAAATTCTATTTTGTGCTTTGTCGTTTTATTCCATTTGTAGACCAGTCTCGTTGCCAATTATGTCTTCAAAACTCTCAACTTGTCAGCGTGAGGCTAGCATCTTGAAACTTTTCGTTGCAAACCATTTCCTTTTGTCAGTTCATTGGATTGAATATGATACTCTGAAACTCTAGTTTGCCTTAGCCCCGAGAGCGTGAAGTGTCGTTCGTGATCGCCATTGTTTGAATTGAGCGTGACCGTCAAACTCCCGTTGCATCAGAAAATAAAGTTCGTGGCTGCATTTTGCACTGAAGGATGTGTAACGCTCCCATAACAGCAGGAGTTGTAACTGAACAAATTCTTAAAAGTCGTCTTGTGCTCAGAATTGATGTTTTTTCGCGTAAAGTGTACCTATCGTCATGCGCAGAAGTAAAAATGTGCAGCTGCACCTGATGGGGGACTGCCACATCATTAAGGGTAGAAACGCCAGGGTTTGCATTCAACAATCTTCAAGACAGCCTCCATGACTGATCAAAGTGCGGAAGCCCTTCCCAAGCTTTACGAGTTGGAGTTCACCACCCCGGAGGATGTCCCACTTTCGCGATTCGAAAGCGCTGGATAAAAGCATGACTGGCCCAGCGACGATTACCTAGCTCCGCTTCGCATTCTATATCATCCTTCATCATTTCTTTTTGCTTTCGCCATGAGCGGAGAGGACTTATCAACTGCATATTATCGGCCACACCATGGTCTATTCCTTTTTGACCTTCAGCCTTTCGGCTCTGTTGCCCATAAAGCACACAGAGCCAGAAATTTTCCTGTTTATAGCTTCAACGGTTCCTTTGGCTTTTGTCCTCAATGGTATTCGGCCTACCAGATATCCATATGACTGAGCCCTACAACCTGCGAAAAACGAATTTTCAGAGATATTCCGTGTATGGGACGAGGGGTCTAGTGCAGTGCATTACCGCGGGGTCTAGTGCATGAGTTGAGGACACCCATGAGTGTACAGTAGGCCAAAATCCCGCATAGTATTAAACGCTTGGACCCCGTGAACGCACACAACGTTCCCCACAGCGCGTCCTAAGCAACTGTTGATATGGCCCCGAAGGGGGGGGGGGTGTGGAGTGAAAATAGCGTTGCATTCGCTTCATTGCCTCACTTTGGGGCTTTAGCGTTCGAAGACACACCGTTGCTTGGGAGTTTCGGATGATTGTACCGTTCGTACCGCTCACTGTGTTGAAGGCGAATTCTAGCAAGAGGCCTGTAGAGAACGAAGAAACAAATTAGAGGATTTCGTAAAGAAAGAGAATCAACCGAGCATGAGGTCATGGAAATCTGGTAAATCAAAAGGTGTTCCATTAGTGGGAGATACAGGCTATACTGCATAGTGCATCGAGTTCTAACTAGACCTCTCAACCATGCCTTACACAAATACTAAAAAGGTACATTGGCAGAGTTTGTGTGGATACAGACGGCATCCACTAATGCTTCCTCTTGCTTGTTGAATTTCTGCTGATATGATGCTTGCTCACTGCTGGAGTACGAAAAGCTTACTCCTAAACATTCCTAATCCTTCCGTAAGACCACAACAAGAAGTTGAAAGGCTAGGCTGGATTCTTCACGAAATTTTGTACACCATTTTTATATTTTTATTTCAACAATTAATTGAGACAGTCTGTGCTTTCTCCAGAGAAACTGCCGGCTAGATTGAGCTCTCCGATGTCGAACACCTTGCTGGGGGTCTCACCTTCCGTCACGAAGTTCTTGGGGATCTTCACTGAGATCTTCTTGTAGCATATCTGAAAAGAAGCTCATGATTCCAGAAACGAAAAGAGAGGAGAGTTCCCTGGAATCTTGAATCGGACCTGTTTCTAAGACTATTCATTCAGATCTTTTCCCAAGCAACGGGTGTCTAGGTGCGTTACCTTAAGCGAAATGACTGTGAGATTTCGATAAGTGCTGGGTTGACGCTCCTTGGTCGACGCAACTACTCTATTTTTGACCATTTATGACCCGACGGAAAGGAGAATGAAAATTACGAAGAAGAGACGAT